ATATATATATATATTTCCTATATTGTAACATTAATTATGGTAATGTTTATTATGCGACGGGGTCCGAAAGATCCTCGCCGTATGTGCTGACATGCTAATATATATTTCGCTTATTTCTCGCAAAACGCTACGTTTATCAAGAGGAGAACTATCATTAACGAAAAGCTACGAGCATTACGAGCACCTGTCTTGTACTCGTTATGAATGCGAGTCTCGTCAGGGTCAGTATCGTATTTAATCTCGCGAGATGCTTTCCGCACGAGGAGACCCGACTTTGCGAAGGTTGCGCGGTTCTCGCTCTCGATCAGCGCCTGTCCTTTTTCAAGATACTCGCGAAGATACATATATGTAAATCATCTGGCTGTCTGTATCACTCATTCGCGGAATGAGCGTGCGACATGTGTCAATGAACGGATGAATCATGAGTCGCGACACATTGTCATCCTTCAAGAAAACGAAAAGAGAAATAAATCGCTTAGTTATTCAGAGGAGGGGGGGGAGGGAAGGGAGGACAAAACCTGTCGGAAGATGTAGTATGTGGTAAAAGAATGCTAAAAATGAAAACATATATTGAACATGTAAATGTATATACATTGATCGATGATTTCTCTCTCTCTCTTTTTCTATAATTTAAATACATTAAAAATATTGATACAATAATACATATTAATAATTTATACATTTGTTTTTTTATCACGCGTGTGTTTAGTTTATATATATATAAAAAAGCATTTATTTTTATCCAGTGCATTCTGAATTAAATGTGAAATCGGAACGAATTAATGTATATTGTGCAAACTATAAATTGATACATGTAATTATTTTCTTCCTCTCGTTTAGTCAAGAAATCAAAGAAGAAGAAACAGAGGAGGAAAGATGGCAAAGCGAATGGCAGAGCGAGGAGGAAGAGGGACCGATCAGCGATGCCTAAATCTCCGGCTGTTCCCTGGGATGGGCGCGGAGGTCACTAACCGGCAACCATAAAGGCGGCCTGGGACCGGTAGCACGACCTTGATTTTGTGTTAAGACCCTTCCAGGATTGTCGATCAAGACCTGAAAGAATTAAAAGAATTAACCATCTTCGACGCCTTTGCGGCATTTTCTCCCCGAAGATGAATGATGTAAAGGAATCGTTTTTTGAAATTGATTTGCTATCGATTGGGATTTATATTATGCGAAATCTTCTAGCGAGAAGTCAATCAGTTATGAATAAGACGTAAAAAAAAAGAAGAATAAAGAGCGTGTCATATTTTTTTTATTCGTAATATTTTTTATTACCATGAAATCATCTAATTATCGCTGGATCACATTATCTGTTTCGTAATGCCTAAGTGCTTTTTCAGTTTTTTTAGATGATTAACGCGACATTTCACATTGACCGCGATTGCTCATCTTCATCAACCTGTTTGATTTGTATTCGTTTCCAGAAGCCGTTCAGATAATTATCATGTCATTCAAAGACATAGATGTATATAAATACAGCGTTTGGATCCTATGATGTATTCGGTTTCAAAAAGAGAGAAAGAGAGAGTGTCTTGTGGTCTCTATATATTATCGTGAGAAATCCATTGGAGAGTTAATTTATCTTTTATGTATTAATAGCGTTCCTGTGTAACAATTTGTTGTAAGAAGTTACGAGATAACTATCCTGCGGGATGTGCATTAATGGCTATGATGGGCTGATTAACAAACCCGTTACTATGATATAACGCAATAAATATAATAGCACTGCGTAATTCGTCCTATTGTTTTCTTGGAGGAAAAAACAAATCTGCGCGAATATAAATCCCCCGGCACAGTATTTATAAATATACGATATTAATGAGATGAAAGAAACAGCCATTTTACTTTGACGTTAGTTGATAATTAATTTTACGAATAGTCCACTGTTATAAATAATGAATTCTTGAAAAACAAATAACCACAAATTTGTAGAATGGCCATAAATTTATATTGAAAGCAAGAACCTCGAGCGAGATTGCTTATCAACAAATAATCCACCGCTGATTTATCAGCGTAGCCTTTGAGGCGTAATATACGCTCTTATAGCTAATATTATGGATATTTGAATTAAAGAGATCGAGAGAGAAGGAGACAGAAAACAGGGAGCTAATTTGCATTCCGACTCACACACAATCGGCTTTGCAACCGATCGTGTTTCACTTCGCCAAAAGGCCCATTAACGACCTATAGCGATTATGGGTTTCGATTTATTTTTCTTTATTTTTTTTTCTTTTCGCGTGGGCCCGTGACGCATAAAATTTATATCTCTGCGGCATCGACGTTATTCCGTCTCGCTACGAGAAATGGCATTGAACTCGACGCAACATTTTAAGCGCCACGTACCTCTTACATATAATCTTAGATCTATTAATCGCACTTGAGCGACGGAATTCAAACGAGAATCGAGTGTCGAATCTGCTTTAAACATACGAGCGTGCGGCATTCGGTAATGCAATTAACCGGCCCCGGGAACCGCTACGCTCGAATTTGAATACTCGTCTAACTCTCGGGCGAGAGATCTTTGTTCTCATCCCGCTGAACGCCACTTTGAGCTGACGATGTATCGATCTGGCCGCTTGCCTTTACGCTCGTATTTACAGCTTGCAACGGTACTATTCGGCCAAAGAGACTCGTCGGATTTTCTCTTCTTTTTATCTTTCATGTTACGTTGTAGAAAGTCAATGATCCTTGAACCCTCCCCCATAAAGTATGAATATAAACAATCTCAATCCGATTAATTTTTAATTAGTGGCGTAAGATAGTCACTCTTGTTTTAAATGAAAAAATAATGATTATTGTTTATTAATAACTTTTTATTGCAATTTTTTAAATACTTTAAATTTAACGATATAAATATAGATTGCTTATTGTAATTAAATTAATAATCGTGTTAATTTGGCGACTGTGACATAGTAAGAAACGTGTGTCGGGATATCACGTGTGCTAGAATGATAACCATTTGTGCAATTTGTGTCTCAACTAATTAAAAATTGATGAGTTTATTAATCTATATTTTTCATCATTTGCAGCTATCTCCTAACTTCTGCCTAATACTGCAGACGAGCATGCAGCGATAACAATCTTGCAGCCGAAGTTATTATTAAAACACTGTCCTAAAGACAGCCTGTCCCTTTCACTGACGATGCATTTTTCGAATTTCTAGAATTTTTTTTTTTTTTTTTTTTTTTTTAAGAAGAGAAAGCAAATAGCCGATAGATCGACCCCTCATAAGTTCAAGGCGAATCGTTGCCACTCCCTAAGAGATAGGGTGCCTTATTTTTGGAAGTTCCCGAAGAGGAAGGCTCGTCCAATTTGTGCAGACTTGTACCATTATTATGAGTATGAGATTCTCCGGCGAGAAACTAATCGTATCTTCTCCCGTCTCTATCTCGTCGTTCTCTTTTATTTGCTAGCTGTAATATTTGTAAATGCGGAATCGTGCGCGAAGCGACGCCTCAATGTTGGTTTATATCGCGCAGTTTTCCCTTGAACCTCTTCTTAAGCCCCGCGTGTCTACTACTATCTCGTGTGTGGGTAAGTTGCTAATTACAGAAATTCAGGAATGTTATCGTATATATACTGTGATCGCTTCATAAATTGTTTAAACAGACGATATCCGCAGATTGAGTTTAACTACACGTTGCGGACGATAATAACGTATATTTCTCATAATATGCAATCGTTAACGATCCGTTTCGTCGACCATCAAGGACGTAAATTCTCGATCGACGGTAGGCATTTTTTTTCCTCTTCCCGTTGCAACTTCTGTCATTGTCAGCTGTTTTCTGTCATCCGTCATCTTTCGCATCACGTCGAATTTCGATGCACCGTTTTGAGTTTTGACATATCGATTATAATAAATATATGCTCTTTTTGCTTCCTTATAGAGGAAGCTTTGTTTTCGTGACAAAATTTTTTTTCGAGTTTTCTATGCCAATGTGTTTAGAATGTCCCAAAACGTCGAAAAATCATATTCCTAAAAAATGTCTGTATGTATGTATGTATGTATGTATGTATTTTAGTGAGGATCGGTGAAAGAATTCATTTTTTATCAAATTTGGAATTTTTTGAGAAATGTCTGTACACATCCTAACTTCCGCAAATTTTAAGATATCAAGTTAAATTTTTTAACATAAATAGAGTATCATTAAAGAATGATTGGTATTGAATTTGGTGAGGACCGATGCCCGGTTTTTATAAAATTTTTTAAAAATATAAATTTTTGAATTTAGGAAAAAATATTTTTTAATATCCGAGGTATGATTTTCCAACATTATAAACATGGGTGTATATTAGCCTGATTTTGGCTTGCTAATGAATTTCTAAAGTTAACATCAGGTTTAAATCGAGCCGATTTTAAAATCCCACTTGGAATGCTATCGAGCTGACTTTCTATCAATTTTCTTTCTAATTGTCAAAATTTTCTAAGTGACTATCTATCTTTATCTTTTTATTTCGCTCACAAAGCTTCCTCTATGAGGAAGCAAAAATTGAAAAATCCGCATGCTTAAAGCAGCTTAAGCATTGTAAGATAAAATGATGAGGAAGCAATGTGCAAGTTTCTAATTTGCACAACTCTACTTGTTTTAGAGTATGTGTAATTATGAGACAATATGTTTTTTTTATCTAAGCATGTAAGAGGGATTTCTTGATCGAAGTTGTTCTCATGTATAATTTAAATCAATTGTCAACATATTGAATGAAGAATCATATACAATGATGATAATATTTCGTCTATCGCTATTGGAAATTTATAAGGGAACGATTATCTAATCGCATGGCATGTTTTGCTAATCTACATACATGTATTTCTGTAAGAAATATATGTCTATTTGGTTTTCGAATTTAATCCATGGATTTAGTGATAAAACGATCATAATCGGTGGCACTTTAATTAAGAACATTATCGAGCGACACCCTAAGCAACTCCCTCAAGAGATCCCATGTACATCCCACGTGACAATTTATATTGCAAACGATCGTCAAGAGGGTAGGAACAATCGAAATGAATCGAAGGCGAAAGAAGAGATTTTGACTCGGACCAAGTCCAGGGCGTGTACGTGAACGAAGTCGTGCTCCTCTTGTGGTCAAGGTCATCGCAGAGCGGGGGACTTAGTAGGCAGGATGTTGGATCACGGGGCCCCCTCCCTCCGGAACGGAGGAGTAGGTATATATATGCGTCCTCGCGCGTCCGGAATACCAGATTGTTGGCCCTCCCCGTCGGCCGCTTCACCGGTGGTGGTGGTCTTTTAAAATTCATCGCGGTGTCCAAGGAACACGCACCTGCAGGAGACCTAGAAAGAGCCCTTGCTCGATCAGTGCAGTCAGATCGCGCGCCGTTAACAAGTGTTTTCATTTAGTTTACTCCCGTCTCACAGTGACAGATTAACCCCGTATCGGTGCAACGCAACGGAAAGGAGGAGGAATCAAGAAGGTCCGTTTTTGTAACATTATAATATATATTAAGTACAAACTGTGCATCATTCATTTCTTTTATATATTATTTAATAAATCCTTGTCATGTATTATTATTTAAATTAAAAAAAAAAGAATGTTTCTGCCAATGTATAGCTATATAAATATAAAATATTACTTAATCTATGGAATTACATAGTTTAAGGCAATCTTTTAAAATAAGAGCGCGTTAAGGAAAAATTTACATTGATAGCTGTTTGCCAAGTGCAGTGCAAACCTCGCACAATACATCGACGAACCGTTCGTATCGTACGGTCTCATCTTCCTACGACAACTTTCGCATTTCTAATAAGTGTACGCACATCAGCAAAAAATAATCACAATACATATGTATATGCATTGAGAGTCCGTCTTTGTTCTCGAATAATTCAAACTGAACTGTATAAAAAATTTTGAATTTATTATACCAAACTTCTTGAAACTTCTCTAAATTCACACCACGTTACAATATAAGTTCGCGATAGAAAATCCGATACAAAAAAAATGCTATAAATACTAAAAAGTTTCTAAAGAAATAGTTCTTTCTTTGACAACAACAATAATAATAATAAATATTTTATCCTAAACATAATTAAAAATGTATCTTACTTAAAGAAATTTTGCATTTGTTTTCAACTTTATTCAAAATTCTCATAAGTAAAATCTTACTGTTGAATTTGTTGCATGCCGCATAAATTATATTGATGGAAATGACAATAAATGAGATATGCGCGCGAGTAGGAAGATATAATAAGGCAATGCGAATAGGTAAGAAGTCTCCTTCAAGGCTGTCTTTTTTCAATTCTTTGTACTTGTCTCGGAACGAACGAGACGATCGAAATATCTTGAAGGCATAGTAAATAAACTGATGTACTTCAGTCGCGCATGAAATGCATTCCGAAACGCACTACAGTCTCCCATGTCCTACCCTAAGTCTTCCCTACTTAAACCTGTAGCTGTGTCATTTAAATTCACATAAAAATAGCGGGATTTCGAGATCGCAAAGAGGATCCTCTATAAGCGTTTTCTCGAAGAGAAGAGAGAGAAGGAAAGAAAAATATCAATGCTATTTGTCATTCCAGCCAGCCATGGTGGCTTGGATTATCCTCTTGACACTGGTGGGCTTATCGTCAGCTGTCCCTTCGAAACGACGAGTACTTGTTGAAGAAATTCTGTCTTTTACACCACCACGGAATCAGCAGCATGGAATCGTTCGCTCGTTCCAGAGAGACGCTGTCGAAAGGTCGCCGACTCCAACGTTCGATCGCCTGTCAAATTATTTAGATTATAACGAGTTTGGCTCGCACAGATATCCTCTGCGCGATGCAGTCGAATCGTTACCAGCCAACGTGCTGTACGCTGAATCGAGTCTCAAATTTCGAGATGACTTTGAAAGGTGAAGATTTCATTATTTTTACGATTATTTTACGCAGTCGTAATTTCTGTATATCAATTTTAATTCTGTTACACTGAAACTTTAATTTATTTTTTTTGTAATATTTCTTTCAGTATCCTTGTGATTAAATCTTTTCTCTCTTTAAAATAATTTTCAGAGAAGTTTCAAAAACTATCTTTTATTAAAACTATCTTTTATTCTATTTAACTTTATTAAAATCATATTTTTGCTGAATCTTTTCTTAAATTTCTATAAATTTTTATTAAAAAATGTGTACACATTCAAGAGTTGAAAGACTTGAAATTATTGAGGTTTAAGAAATTTTACTTATATTTTCACTTTTTTTTGCTTATTTGACTTTTTTTTTTTTTATTTAACTTGAATATTCATTGATATATACATATAATAGAGAGAAAAAAAGAATGTATCTTTAATTTAATCTATTATTAAATTTAATTTAAAATAAAGTATGAGTATATATATTATATAGAATTACATGAATGTATTTAGAGAGAACGGAAGATTACCTTTGAGAGATGCAGTAGAACATCGCGAAGCACCTTTTCTCAGCGTCGATGTGGATCACGAGTCGATTTGGATCGAACCTGTGGCACCGCCGATTCTTCGAAGGACGCAAAATTTCGAACCTAAAATTGTTTGCCGCTTCGATTCCAGAGCTGTTCATAGAACGGAACCGTTTTCTTTGCTTCCAGAAAACATGCCAGATCACAAGTGTACCCATCTGATATACGATGCGGCTATTTTGGGTAAACAATATTCTCGTAGACCTAGAGATATATTTTATTTGCGGATATTTTTATTATAATTATTCACTTTTTATTTTTTTTTACAGACAGAGAAAATATCATCCTTAGAGATCCATATGATCGAGGTAAAGATACTACGTAGTTTTTATTGAAAAGAAAAGAATTAGCTATTTAAAATATACAAACATTATTAGAAATAATAATGATAAATTATTAACTTAATATTATATATTTAATAATCTCAGTTATTAAATTACATTATTTTACATTATTGTATAGATGGTTATAATGCTATTATAAGACTTCGTTCGCGGGATCCAACGTTGCGTGTGCTCATATCAATCACAAATCAGAATCTACACGACGGTATATTCATCCAATATTTCTCCAACGCGACTCTATTCCCGCAAAAGTCTATTCTCGAATTCCTCGAGGAATATCCCTTTGATGGCATCGAGCTGGACTGGCCGGCTGCTGCCGAGGATTGGCAAAGCTTCAAGAATATGGTCAAGATAATCGGCGCTTCATTGGCCAGGAAAGGATACACTTTGGCGGTGGCGTTGAGACCGGAGGATCCCGTGGATCCAGAGCTGTTATCGATCGTCGATTTGGTAATTTTGAGAAGCTGGCTGGATATGCCATATTGTCAAGACGATAATTCAATTTGCGAAATGAGAAATGAAATAATAGAGAAAGTCGCTGTTCATCCGGGCCTCTTAAGTTTTGTCGCGCAAAACACGAGCGAATGGGTTAGACAAGTCAGCGTCGAACAAAGGTCAAAAATCGTTCTCGCTTTGCCAATCTTTGGTCAGGGATATACCCTGAAATACGATAATCTCACCGACGCCGGCGCGCCCGTTCTGGGACCCGGCAGAGAGGGTGATTACACTAAATGGCAAAATGGAAAATTAGCTTATTTTGAGGTAAAATATTGCCGTTAATAAAATTTGAGGAAGATTTTTGTACGTGGATTGAAAGAAGAATTATTCTATTCTTATAGGTATGCGATAAATTGGAGGAAGGATTGTGGTTCTCCGGCAGGGATGAGGAAGGGCCGTACGTGAAGCGCGGCGATCAGTGGATCGGTTATGACGATCCTGTATCGGTTAAAGTCAAAATAGCGTATGTTCGAGCAACGGGACTTGGTGGAGTTGCATTATGGTCGCTGGATCTAGATGATTTTCAGGTAATTAATGACAAACATTTGCTTTTTTCTTTTATTCAAACTTTTAATAATGTTCCGTTACAAGTTTGTCAGATTTTAATATATCACATGATATCGGAAAGAGTTAATTAGAATTCAAAAATGTATACAAGAGAATAATAATAGTTTTTTATTAATATATAATATATAATAATTAATATATAATATATAATTTTATATTAATATTAATAATTTTTTA